TTATTAATTATCTTTAAAAATAATAAAGTTAAAAATATGCATTAAATATAATTTGTAGAATCTTAGACTTCTTCAACATGTGATTATTGCTCTTTGTAGAACTCAACCTTAAAAAAAAAAAAAAAAAAAAAAAAAAAAAAAATCCCAAAGATACATATTTAATTAGATTAAAGAAAAAAAAATTACCTACAAAAAATCTTAAATAAAAAAGATTGGTATTACAAACAAAAATATTTACTCAGATTAAAAGAACCAAATTGAAGTAAGTAGAAGTAAAAAAATATTGATAATACCTTAAGTAGAAACTTCTTAGAGCTTTGTAGATATAGATTTGACTTTCTACGTGTTTGTAGATAATTGATTGATTGAAAATTCAATCAAAAAATTGGCTATGTGACGCACATATAAAAAACTTGTTTAGCAAGTTAGACACATGTCTTGAAAATTGGACATATATTAAAAATTGGACATATATTGAAGCATATATAGAACGATGGTACATAATTCTTAATTAAATAATATATATGACGACAAGAGTGATGCATTCATCACCCTTATTAAGATCTTTAATGTTATTAGTCTTGTTTAAAAATCATTTATCTTCTTGTCTTTAATAATAGTCATTCTAGTCTTATTATTATACTACTTTTGAATAATTATCTACTTTTTTTTTATGATACAAGAATGTATTGATCTTTAGGTTCTTTGTGGTTTATGTCCTTAAAAATTGGTAATTAATCAAAAATATATTAAAACATAAAATAATATGTATTTATATATTCATTATTTTATTTTTTATTTTATTTCTTTAAAATTTTATAAAATATTATATCACTAAGATAAAACTTTTAGGTATAAATTTCTTAATTTTTTTATTAATTTATAATCATATTTTTAATCTAATTATTAATTTTTAAAATTTTAATAAGATACTTAAATATATATATTATAAATTAGCATTAAATATAATATTTTTATTAAGCTTCATGTTGTATTATTGACATTGATCTTAGTTACATATGTATTTAATAGAATATTTTTTAATTTTTTAATTATAATTATATATTAAAATTAAAATAGATCATAACTAAATTAATTAATTCAACATGTTATTAAATGAAATAAAAAATAAAAATTTATATATATCAAATTTTAAAATTTTAAAATTAAAATAAATATTTATTTATTTATTTAAAATATTATTTATATATTTAAATTTTTATATCAAATTTTGATTTTAACTTTAAATTATTAATTTTTTAACTAAGAATAAATAATTAAATTATAATTTTCATAGATATAGGTTTTTAGATTCTTTCAAAATATTTTTGTACAACAAATGATTGTTTTGAATCTAAAATATTTTTGTATAATAAATAATTATTTGTGAAGAAACAATGAAATTCTTTGTAGATAATATTTATTGATATCATAGACTTTGAAATGAAATTATATCTAAATACAAGAGATTCTTTAACATAACTCAAGTTGATATTAAGTAATTTTTAGCTTTTCATCTCCAAACTGATAGATAAACAAAATGTGAAAATCAAATATTTCAAAAGTATTTGCAATGCTTCATCAACTACCACCAAGACAATTGAACAACTTTCTTATAATTAATAAAGTTTCTACATAATAATATAATACATTCTTTAATTTATTTATTTTTAATTATAATTACTATCTATGATTTGATAATATTAATTATTTAAAATTTTAAAATTGAGTACCAAAAGAATTAGCAAGTAGAATAAAAGAACTTCACATAATAATGAAGTTATTATTAAAAGAAGCTAAAAAATGACAAAAAATTAATACAAATCTTTTTTAAAAAAATAATAATCTTCATTCAAAGTTGGTGATATAGTATAATTTTTTTGTTGTAATATCAAGACTAATTGACCTTGTGACTAATTGACCTTGTGATCATAGATTATTAAAGGCTTGGCTCATTTTTTTTTATCTAAAATAAATTATTTTAATTACATATTATTTATAATTATTTCTATTAATAGAAATATATTTTGTATTCTATGTGTATCTTATTGAGCCTTATACAACAATCAATATATTTAAAAGAAAGCAGTTACCACTACATATTGCTGAAATAGATAACAATCAAGAATTTGAAGTAAAAAAAGTCTTGGATTCTAGATTGCACCAAAAAAAATATAAATACCTCACACTTTGCTTTCTATTAATGTCATCCATTAAAACCAAAGACTAATTATTGACAATAAGATGCTATAAATAAGAAAGAAATAAGTTCAAGAGTCAAGTTATAAGATTCCTTTGCAAATATGAAAAACCAACAACAAGCAAATTCACTTCAAGAATTTTTATTTGTAAAATTATCAAATGATGCACTTGAATTGTCTCAATCTAGACTATGTTATAATCATGACATGTTTTTCATTGAATAGATGGCAAGATATAATATATTAGATATCACAATCTTAAAATAATCTTTTGATTCTTAGTAATATTATTGGAGATTGGAATTAGACTTAATAGAATGTAAAATGTATCATTTGAAAGTAGCTATGAAGGCTTTATTAAGAAAAAAAATAACTAGATATTTTTGTCTTAGTATAAGGTACTAATAATGATAAAAAAAAAGACCTATTAACTACCTTCATGTGAAACAAAGATCAAAGTTTGTTGCTAATATTATTCAATAGATATTAAACTTTATCAACTTATGAAATAATCATATACCTTCTTGTGGAACGTATTACCTAGAAGAAGGAAAAATATAAAAAATAATTAAATATATTTAAATAAGAATAACTCAGTAGAAATAATAAAAAAAAATAGATTAAATTGTTAATATTGTTTTGGAAAGCTTTTTAAAAGCTTTGTAAATTGTACATGTGTTTATAAGTAATTAATAGGTTAATAAGTTGGTTACTTATTATATATTTAGCCTCTTGTATTACAAGTTGGTTATGTGGCTTACATATCAAAAACTTGTCCTATAAATTAAATAAGTCTATTATAAGTTGGACATATTTCATATGACATATAAAATATTACTATATAGTTATTTGATAGATCTTTATCAAAATACTATATGTTTTATCTAAATTAGAATTATATGTTTTTAAATTTTTTTTTATAAATAATAGACTATGTAAAATCAAAATCAATATTAATATCAATGTAAAATTTTCACTAAATTTGCTATAAGCTTCTATTGAATTCATATTGAATAAAAAAGGAATAATATATATATTAATAAGTTAAATTTTATATTAAATTTTTTTTGTTTTTATAATATTTTAAAATACATTGCATCATTAATATATTATATAAATAAAACCAATATTTATATACTATCAAATTATCAATGATATTCATACATGAGTTATTTAATTGTAATTTAAATATATTTTTAATGATTATATATTACTTTAATTATATTATTTCATCATGTTAATGTATTATCTTGTTAAATAATATGAATTAAATATGTTTTTCCTAAAAAAAATTCTAACTTATTTTTTAAATGCTAATGCTCTTATTTAGTAATATGCTAACATCATATATCTTTGAGAACTAGTTCTTTATTTTCAAAATCTTTTCTTTTTAATAAAACAAACACTCACATACATATAATTTTTGACAAATTTCTGTACAACTAATTCAAGAATGAAAAACTAAAAAAAATGTAACTTCTAATGTTTAGAGAATTAAGATTGATTATTTGTGTTATAAGAGACAACTGTTGACTTAAAATCTAAAAATATCCACTAAATACTTCTTAATCACTTCTCTTTTTTTCAAAGCAAACGTTAAATTACATCCACGAGAGTTACATCCTATCAATATAACACATTTCAATGGCAATATCGAATCATGGCCATCAGTCTTTGTCAACAATGATTAATGACCATCACCTAACAAGAAACTGTTATTCCACTCATGTTGGTACAACAGATTTACATATTTCTTCCTTCACCTTCATAAAATACATAAATGGATTTACCTCAATAAGGACTTTCCCCAAAACAATACAAAGCAAACCCTATCTCTATTTTCACAGTAACATCATCACTGAAAAAACTTCAATGCTCAATGCACATAAGGAATAAAGAATAAAAAACCTCTGTAATTCATAATGAAATTCAAAAGAAAGTCTAAATGCTGAGCATCCAGCATTGGAAATGAAGATGCATGGATCGGAAAAACCCTAAAAACGACGTTTTCACAATAGCAGATGAGGCACAGAAGTGGAGATGGAATTGCAGTAGACATTGAATGGTGTGGCACTGACCACCATTAGGATTGTAGCATGGGCGTCTTTTGCCATCTCCCCACATCATCAGACTCTTCTTCTTGCTGATTACAGCAAGAATTCGGTGCATCGACCAGTCGCCAACTCTGAATCACAGGGTGCTGCATGCACAGTAGTGTGTCAAAACCCAGGTTTCATCTCTGACGGTTATGGCCTCTTTTGTGATCTCACAGGATGCGTTTCATGCACCCATTTGCAGACCACACTGTGGCAAATGAGGGCCTTCATGTTTAGCTGTTGCTCGGGATGGACCACCCAATGGCGGTTCAAGAGCATGCAAGTGGACAAGAGTGAGAAAGGAGTAGGATTTCATGCACGATATGGCTGTGTCTATTCCGCTTAAAATTCTCAACTCCCCATTCGAGTTATTGGGGTCAACGTGGTCTCTCGTGTCGTGGCTGCCTTGTTTTCATTTGTGTGGTGAATACCCCGACATGTTGTGCTTTGTGTTTGCTCTCGTCGTTGGAAATCTGCCCATGTAGTTTCTTACGACGAAACTGTGACGAGGGCGGAGTAGAATCAACATTGAGTTCTACGGAATATTCATGGAAGTGGAAATTCTCACAACCACCCGCATCCAGCCTGATGCTGTTGAAGAACGTTTCGAGTTGTAAGCACACCTGATATATAAGTTGTCGTTTAGAAAAACTAAAAAAGTTCCTTTGTTTTGAAAATAAGGGAACCTTGAAGCCCAAGAAAGTTCTGAATTGTGTAGTTACAATTACCAAGTCACCGGGTACATGACACTCCAAGAGGGAAAGATATCAACCAATGGACACTGAAGGACATACCTAACAACGAGACTGATGAAGAAAATCAAAAGGACAATATCTGAAGAAAGTTCATCTTCCTCCCATGAAACCTTTCAGAACAGGTTCTACTACCTTTGAATCGCAGTGGACATTAGCAAGACGTCCAGACTTGAGAGACAAAAAAATTCCCTATGAAACAGAAATATGCTAAAACCTGCGAATTTGTCCATGAAAGAATTGCAACTTTGAATCGGCGCAATACTCAGAGTTGCGATAGTTTATATTAATAGAATCGTGTACTTTAAAAAAAAGGGGGAGGGGGGTTTAATCCACACCAAGCAAAGGTTCACTTGTGTAGTTAGACTTCGAATAAGCAAGGATGAAACTGATCACCCAGGGACCCAACCAGAGTACTAGAAGCGTCACCAGCATGGGCCAACCGATTGGCACCACGAACGACAATATGAACAGCAAGGTGCCGCATAACTCAAATATCAACCCTGATGAGCAGAAACACACGAACGTCGTCAATTGAGATGCCCTCAAATTAAGACATCAGACGTGAACTCTGTGATACTACAGAGCGTAGGTTATGAAATTGGCAGTGCAAAGTGAAGAAATTTATACTGAACGCTACAGAAAGATAAAAAGGAACCCACAACACACCTGCTTGGGAGTGCAGTGCATCCCAATTAGCATCGGTCGTCCAGGGGCTGATGATTCCAACCACGTTGTTTTGCTCCACATACTACAACCCCACATCCCAAAAATAATTTTAAAAATTTATGTCTTGGCAATAGAAGCTCGTAAAACCACGAAGTACCCTACAGCTTAAGCCTCAAGTCAAAGTAATCAATATTTGCTTGTGCTGTTAATGAGCTTCCAGGGAAAACTGCGTCTACGGTAAGGTGAAATTAGGGCCAAGAGTACAACAGACTTACTTTAAGATTGTGACCGAACCACACGAGAACCCAAATAGCAGTATTTGACACAAAAATGCGAGCAGGAAATTTGTGGCTGGGATCAGTTTCGGCCGGGAGGATCACGTATGCCTGGATGGTGAAGAGGAACAATGCTGGCAGGACGATGATGTTGAACACTGACTGCTTGGATGCAGCTCTGCCCATTGCAAGCAATACCACGGTTAGATGATAGAGAAGTTGTAATGCATACACAAAGTGGAAGAGAAAAAAGAAAAAGAGGAAGATTGTAGCATACCAAAGAGCTAAAATAAAAGCGTTTCAATCATCTGAGAATTGAGTGAATGGTAACAAAATGACTAACCCATGGTGCAGAAGATTGTAGTTGCGGAGAGCAGCCATGTTATAAAACAAGGGCACCAACAAAGTTAGCACTGGGACGGAGAGCAGAGCAACCCAGCGAGGTCCATAGATCCACGGATTACCTGTCAATGTAACTCAAATTTGGATCAATGCCCACTTTCACAATACGAATAATGAAGGAAGCACATCTAGGTCGTCACGCATGTGAATCTCCTGAAATTCTGCATAGCAAGTTTAAAACCAATGGGTACGAAATCAAGGTAGAAAGTCCAAGGAACAAAATACGCGAATTTGTGTGTTGGCACGTAGCACAGAAGAAGGGCTTGAAGTGGACAAGACATGAACCACAGCCATTGGGATAAGATTGGACATTCTTGTGGACGAAAGTCGGAAAGAGAGTTCAACGAAGAAGCAAACCAATGTCGCATAACTAGAATCCAATGGAGGGAATAAAAGAAACAAGACGCCTAGGTTATCATACCCTAACAGACTAAATCTCCACCGAGGACTCAGGACAGATCATTGCAACTCAGTACAATTCCAAAGACACAGCTTCGAATATAAAATCCAAATTCAAGGCAATCAGAGGTACAATATGAAAAGGGTCCCAGATCGAGCAGAGAGACTAACCAAACAGATCCCACCAGATGGGAAGATGATGCCATGGCGCACTGTGCGCATTATACAAGGTGATGGCCAGACTCCCCAGGAACAGCAAAACTGCCAGCACCACCGGACTGGAGCCCATTCTCCTCACCTTGAAATCCCTCTTCCACTCTACCCCGGAAATCTCCCACCTCCACTGCTTCAACAAAACAAGCTAACCCTTCAATCCCAAAACACCCCAGCTCCTCGATCCCCACGGGACAACACGGGGTCACAGGACTCTTCGACGGCTACATTACTACGCGAGATGGAACCCCTGATTTGAAGCTTTGAAGTGTATCGGTGTGCACAAGCCACATGGATGACCTCTAAAATTAAAACCCCTACGACCAGCTAGTTTCTTCAAAAGCAAATGCTTACCAAATCCTTGTCACCGCGACCTTCCGTTGCGGATTGCCAGCTCTGGCACGTTCTATTGTGATGCCTTTTAACTAAATTACTTTCACAAATTCCGATCGCCTCTACCGACCAGTGGTCATTTCAAGCGACCACTAATTGACCATCTGCATTCACGTAGATGGCTTATTCTATACATCTGCCACCAAAAAAAACAATGAAAGAGTACATTTGAGGTCAGAGATGGGTTCTGTTAGTTGGGATTGTGATCGACGCTTCTCCTTGCTTCTGGTGTTAGTATAACCTGCGTTTTTAGTATTCGTATACATACTAAATATATACTCACCTAATTAGGGTTAATAAAATTAATGTTAGACGGTTGCTGAGTGCCACCATCTAGTGTATATATACTCGTGGCCTTGCCACCTAATATCCTTGACAAGACTATGCTAAGATACTAACATGGTATCAGATCAGTTTTGATCCAAGGACAATTTTTTTTTTTTTTTGTTGAGCTTAGTTCCAAAAAAAATACTTTAAGGCAAAGGCCTTGTGTTGTAGAATTACAACCTATGCTTAGAGTTAAGACATAATATGAAAGCCAAAAGATGTGTTTGTAAGACTATACTAGTTAAGTGAGAAAAAGTATATAAGAATTTGCATAAGAGTAACTTATTACAAGAGTAGCTATTTATTTCTTCAAATAGGAGAAATGGTTAGAGTAATTTTTGCTTCAAGAATATTAGCTGATATTGCAAACTACACAAAATGGAGAAACATTATCACAAATGTTTTGTTGAAAGATGATTCTTTTAATGACTTAGATCATGACAATCCAATTGTCAAAGCTAAACTTACAATAAGGCTTAGGAGACCAATGTTGAAAAAGAGGGCATTACAACTTATGTTGCTTCCTACTTGCAAAGCTGAGATAGATATAGGAAATAAGAACAAAGAGGCTCAGACCTCTAGTGCATAGTTAGCATAGATTGATTTGCCTTCCTATCTTCTTATTAAACTTGTTAAACTAAAAGAATACAAAAGGAAGTAAGACAAGGTATTAGGCGTGATATGTTTATCAATGTGAAAACTTCTTAAAGAACAATCAAAGGTATAAAAGACCCACTTAAAATATGGATCAAACTACAAATCTTATTCTACACAAAAATAGTGGCAATCAACATGAAAATATTAGATAAATGGAATAATATGAAGATGGGAGATAACATGACTATGATGACTTATCTTTAAGAAATTAATTTGTTGCTAAATCAACTACTTAACATTGATGAATATCCAAAAGAATCTACAATTATATAGAAGATCTTTTAAGGCTTGCTAAAGCAACTTGATATGTTTAGAACAATAGTTCAAAATAAAGAGCATATTTTAGAATTGAATGCACTAATTGGTTTATTACTTGCTAAAGAAATGATTCTACTGAAAATAAAAGTTAGAAGAAAAGATGAAGACAAAGTACCTATAATATACTTTAGAAATATGATAAAAAAATAATCAAGGATGATGCAAATTCATACAAAGACGTAATAATAGTTTAAATGGCTACAAAAGGTTCTCATTTGGCACTTCTTGTGATATGAACAAAATTATTTGTCCCTACTATCTAGAAAAAGGGCATAGTGTATGTAATTGCAATACACCAAAACCAATATACTTTGTAATAACATCTACATGAAATGATATATCAATGAAAATCATCCTTGATTATATTTGTGACAAAAGCATCTAGAGAGAATTGAATCATAGACTCAAATGTGATCCATAACTATATTGGACACTTTAGCAATTTTTTATGCATGATTAGTATAAATGATATTTTATTAGTCAAATCTATAAGAAGTTAATTAAATATTCTAACAACAAAAGAAAATGTATACCTTTGTAACATAGATGGAGATATAATACAACCTATTGATTTTTGTTATATATTTGGATTAAGTCAAAACTTATTTTCAATAAGGTAGTTCTTTAACTAAAGAAAATTGGTCTTTTTCGAAAACTTAAATTATATTGTAGTAACAAAAAAATCACCTTTCAAGGCTATTACGAAAGAGATGTAATATCCAATGGACAATATCAACTTACAAATATATACAAACATAAAGAATAAATACTATTCACTAAGAAGGATATAAATAAAGACATTACAAAACTCTAATATCACAAAATGAGGCATTTGAATTATCAAATCCTCATTTATATGAGCTTAGAATTTATGTCAAAGATATTCCTTATCTTACTCTTTTAAAAATAGTTTGTTCAAGATGTTAGCTTAAAAGTTATATAAAGAAAGAAATGCTAAAAAAAACCAATTTATGCCACAAACATCTTTTGTATTAATTTATATTGATTTGTATGGATTAATAATAAAATCATTAGAAAGATCACAATACTTTGTTATAACAATTGATGTATTTTTTAGAAATATTTAGGTTTATTTTTTAAAAATTAAAAATTAAACCATCAATAAATTTAAAGATTTTTTTTGGTATATAAAGAAATAATTTAAATAACATATTTAATTTCTTAGAATAGATAGAAAAGAATATTTTATATCCCAAGAGTTTAAATAATTACTTAACAATCAAGAAATTAAAATGGAATTAATAGATCCATTTAAACCTCATCTAATGATGTCTTTGAATGCAAGAATTATATCTTTATAGAAAAGATGTGCAATATGATACTCATGGCTTAAGCACCAAATTATTTTTATATTGAAGCTATCTTATTAAGCCTTCAAATAACTAATTTTTTTCTTAAAAAAGCTAAAAATACAATTATTCCATACAAGAAATTATTTGAAGACAAACCCTTCTTAGTTACAATTTGGAATTTTGATTGCATAATCTATGTGCACAATACATCCTATTGAGCCAAATTAAAACCAAAAGCAATGGTGTGCAGGTTTGTGGACAATGATGAAAATTTTAGAACCTAAAAATGCTTTGATCCTATATAAAAAAAAATATTAATCTTTTGAGATGTCCAATTCATGTCAAGGATATGAATCTCGAAGAAAGGGAATCCTCAATACACTCTTCTATCACTGAAGAGAACTAGAAAGTCACTCAAAAGGTGATGTAATATTAACTAAAATGGCTCTTGCCAAAAAATAAAAAGACTAGAAAGTCTTGAAACAAGACTGAGACTTAAAAGGCATTAACAAGAGTGAAGAAGGCTTCAATCTTGCCTCCATATATACTATCTAATTAAGAGCCACGTGGTGATGTCTTATACGACCTCCAACATGTATTGACTTTGCTAGCCATATGTCTTATCTTGTAAGGCAAGTTATCTATATATGTGCCATGTAGTTGACTTATTCCACAAGCTACTACATGGAGGTAACTTGTTTCACAAGCTACTACATGGAGGTAACTTGTTTCACAAGCTACCAATACATGGTTAACTTTTTGGCCAAGTTTCTAATCTACGAACACATCTAAAGTCAAAACTACATCTATGAAGCTTCTAGGAAGCTTTTCTAAAAGATTTTATGAAATTATTCTATTATACCTACTTCTACTTAATCATATAAGTAACTATTGAGGTAAATATATATGTCCATGACATTACCCCCCTCTTCTAGGGACGAGTTCTATGAAGAGCAGTCTTCATATGTATTGTCTGATAAGTCCGCAAATCAAAGCTCTTGAGTTGAATCTGCTAGTTGTTGGTGCTCCATCTCATTACAAATACATAGAAGCTACAATGAAAGATAAAAGGTAGAATGTTATTTTCCTTTGATCTTGTTTCTTTTATAGCAAAGGTTTGTAATTCTTCATCTTGGTTTTGATGGATGTCGTTGATGAAAGACTTCAATTTCCTTTATTGCATTTGTAAGATTTTTTGATGGATCTCATGTATATTCACTAATATCATATCCGCACCAATGAACAAGATATTCCAACTTGTTTCGACACTACCTTGAGTCTAAGACTTCTTCCACCTCAAACTCTTGGTTATTATCCACTTCTATAGCAGGAGGTGGCATTTGTCTTCTTTCCAAGATATTCACTGTCTTATGCGGCTCCAAAAGAGACACATAAAATATAGGATAGATCTTCATAGACTCCGGTAGATGTAATCGATAGGCAACAGAATTGATTTGTTCACAAATAAGAAAAGGGCCGAGCTTACAATAATCTAATTTATCACAAAGACGAGTAGTCTTGATATTACGATGAAGTAACCATACCTTGTTGCATATATTATATTATGGTTGCGCCTTGCGATAAGCATCTGCATTGATCTTTTGTTGTTCTTGAGCTTTCTTTAATTATATCTTTATTATTATATGTAGCTCTAACAAGCGATTTGCTAAATCTTTCGCCGTAGGATTATCAACTTTAAAAAAGTCAAAAATATCAAGACATGGATGATGACCATAATTAACAAAGAAAGGTGTTTGTTGACTGGAAAAATATACCACATTATTATATGTAAACTCTGCCAATGGTAAAAAAGTTGTTCAATCATCTTGATGATAGTTGATAGTACATCTCAAATACTACTCCAAAACTTGATTTATCCGTTCTGTTTGTCCATCTGTTTGAAGATGAAAAGTTGAAGAAAGCTTTATATCCACATTTAGAATCTTGAATAAGGTTCTCCAAAATCTTGACATAAATTGAGTCCCTCTATCCGATATAATATCCTTTAGCAATCCATGATAGCAATAGATATTGTTAATGAAAAGCTTTGCTGTTTCTTCACCTGTGATAGATTTTGTACATAGTACAAAATGTGCCATCTTGGTAAAACAATCTACGATCATAAATATAGAGTCATAAGAACATGAGATTGGAAGATCTATGATGAAATCCATAGAAATAGAAGACCATGGTTGTTCTGGAATAGGTAACGGTTGAAGAAGTCCGTAAGGTCAATGACGAGGAGTTTTTGATCTTGAGCAAACATCATAAGATTGTACAAAATCTTTAATTGCGTTCCACATTTGTGGCCACCAAAAATCCCTAGATATTAGTTCCAAAGTTTTAT